ATTTTCAAGCTGTTCGACTCATCGCACGTCTCTACATGACTCATGCAGCAATCAACTTATGGAGTAATGTATGAAATTTGTCTTTCCCGTCACATGTAGCTACACGCACATCTCCGCACGCGTACGACCACAAAGAGCTACCTGACACCAAATGTAACCTTGGCTACTTACGTCTGAATGTCTGAATCTTCTCAATTCTGTTCTAATGAAGAGGAGAGCGCGAGTTCACAATAACAAGACTTGAAAGCCTCCCATTTGGAGCCATTAATGCCCACACGTGGCGACGAACGTGGGTTTGCCAAGTATTTTTGAGTCAATTCTTCAATTCAATGACTCTGAAGTTGAGTGGCACCCGACATAAGTCAAGTCAAGTCACTCTCACGACGTAGTAACTGTGCACCAACTTCAATTTGCAGTTACGCAGACACCATAGGGACGAGGAAAAAGTATGTTTTGCGTTGTTGCGCGGTGTTAAAATCCAACGGACATTGCCGAGGGTGGTTTCTAACACTGATATAAGGCGGAGCTTACACATGCGTGCGTTTCTCACTTAGTAACCTTTAACAAACAATGACAGAATAGGTCGCCCGGTGTTCACGTGTTCAAAACATCTGGTGCAATTAGAGCTCACTGTGTTCTGATAGACAGGAACTGACGGTGAACTGACTTCATTACGTCTTGGCCACTTTTCAAGCGGTTGAGGCCGGAAGCAACAGCTGCCTTCTTCAAGGAGGAACTTCGGCGGTTTGCGTCTAGCAGAAGATCAAGACTGGGTTGAAGCCTTGACCAGAAGATGCAGCTGCCAAATTGAACTACGTGAAGAGATTCTACCAAATCCCAACGATGTTGATGGTTGGTATTTTTCTCTTGCTCGTTACCGGCACCGTTCAAACATCATCCGGCCCTGATTCGGTGACGGTACGAGGTTCTGACTACGGTGGATCAGCCTCTGTGGACCGAGGCAGCTTGACGAACGTTACGCTGCCGTACTCGCCCGTTCAAACGTCGTCCAATGCCACCACACTCAGTCGCCGTTCGTCAGACGAGCTTCAGAACTCAAGGCTAACAATCCTGCGGTTCTACACTGTGATAGTGGTGCTTGGCATCTCCGTTGTTGCTGGAGTACTCTTGGTCGTCTTCGGGTTGTTCTTCAAGGGGGAAGCCTTTAGGAAATCTGCGGACGATCGGATGAAGGACAACACCAGAGAGGGATTCGACAGAATCAACAGTGACCTGTTCCTTCTTGGCCTATCCGTGTAAAAAAAAACGAGGACACATACAATTTTGCGTGCGGCAACATTAGGAAATTGTGGAGGACCAAGGACTGTGGTGCTTTGAGCGATTTAATCAGAAGCTCGACGATAGTGTCGATGAAATCGGTTGGACTGGTTATATGAAAGATACCTGCGATACCTCGCTCTTTTGTGTTTCAACGTTCGCTAGCTCTACGGAAAACAAGAATGAGACGACTGAAAACGCGTTATGGCCCCACAGGTATTATTCTCAACATTTCTTTATCGAAACAATGACGAATTTATCAGGTGCTTTGGTATAAGAAAAAACAGCAACTGCGACCTTTCAAAAAGTTCCTATATATACCCATAGAATAATGACGCTGTACATTTCGGTGGCCTCAAAGTTGTCTCCTCTTGTTACCTCCATGAAAAATGGAGGTATTGTTTTAGTCTGTCCGTGTGTATGTGTGTCTGTCTGTCTGTGTTTCCACATTTTTGTGGCAGACCTTTGTTTCTGGTTGGATTGTGATGATATTTGGTATGTCGGTAGGGCATGGGAACACTAAGGTCGAGAGCAAATGGCTGACCTTGGTGCTGTAGCAGAAACTTCCGGTTGTTGTATCTTTTATCTGTGGTCTTGATTTTTTTTTTGCTGATAGCTTTTCATGTCAGGAACAAGTGTTGTGGGTTTAGTGCCCCTAGAAGCTTGTAATGGAACTACAGGGGAGTTTCTGGTGAATTTTTGAAAGCAGATAAGTAATGATTCTCATGATTTTTGGTATGCAGGTAGCTTAGGCACAATAAAATGCAACTTATGTAAATGGAGACTTGGATCATAATTAAAGATCGAGGGAATTATAAAATTTCAGTGTTGTACATAATACGACTTTGATACATGTAACGTATACAATCTCTGGCAGGTGTATGTAACATACAACAGGTACATATTATGCAAAAGGTCATATTATGCATATTACCAGTATGTTAATGTCGACTCATTTGCATAATTGATAATGAAATGTTGAATTGAAACCTTGCCGAAGGATATGACTTTCGCTTCTAAGGTGTATGTAATTTGAGTTGAGAATACCATAAATTAAAATGAATTATGATAATGATAACATTACTTCCTTAAACAAAAACATTTACAAAATCTCTTTTACTCAGCAATCTCATCTACAAAATATTTCATGGTCCATCACGGAGGTATGAGATCTCCAACTTCTTGGTTGCCATTTTAAAAGCGTAAGACCGAGGTTTTAACCTAATTTCTGTGTGTGTCGTGTCATGATGGGGCCTCTCTAACATGCACTTAGTCACAAGTGCCATTACCACTGTCCCAATTCAGATAATGGACCAGGGGAATGACCAACTACGCAGCTAATCGAGTGATAGATATACAAGGGGGGGGGGAATTGTATATTTTTGTTCGGGGATCATTTGCCAAATTAATTGGCACCTGCATCGGACCTCCTACAAAAAATTCTATTGCAGTAACTTCATCTACACTACCGGTGGGACAGAAGAAATCTAGTTTTTTTTTTTCATTTACTGTACCTCAATTTTCACCTTAACAACAACTCATACGAACCACTCACATGTTTTGGGTTACAATAAGGGACTGTAAAAGATAGATGTTACAGTCCCTTAAGCTTAGAATTGAAGCTTAGAATTGAAAAGTTTAAGGTTGTACCAATTTAGGAAGCATTCACAGGGAAGCTTGTTCCACAGTTAGGCCATGTTGATTTCATTACATGGATGACATCTAAGCGCGCATGACTTTTCGTCCGTTTCCAAAAAAAAAAGTTTTCCACCATACTGTATATCGTACAAAGTAGCTGCAAAATGAACAAATGTATGCCGTAAATCGAAAAAAAATTGGAAAACAATACTTATGTCGCAGAATGCCAAAATCCATTCCAAAGGACATGAAGAAAATGTGAAGGAATGAAAATGAAGAGTCTATTACTAGTATATTCACCATGCCAATAAAACATTACTCTGTGTGTTTGGTCATTTGTTCAACCTTCATGACCACCTAGATTTCATAATGAAGGCAACTTTTTTTGCCAAACTTTTTTTATTCGGACGCCCGCATTAGTTTTAGGGTTCCCAGAGGATGTCATCCGTATATTCAAATCATCATGGCCTGATGTAGTTCTATTTAGGAAAGAATTCGAAGCTTTCAGCGTGGAATTTCCTCCTTAAGAGATGGAGTATGAAGGAATAACTGGTAATTAGCTGCGGTAAAGCGTCAAACATCTGCGTATGTGCAGGATAATTGCCGCTCTTTAGACAAGAGTTCTATACTTAGCCTTAGTGGTTTTGTCTACAACTGCCGTTACGCACTTACGCCCTACCGTAATGCTATCCTCGAAATCTATTACCAAATGAATCGCCCATAGATGAGCACGTTGACTGACACATGCACTGGTGAATGGGCCATTACTTACTACTTGTTACGTTGTCAATGTTCATTCCAAGTATCCATAAGACTCCTATGCAGGCTGACTAAATACTAGTAGCAGAAATAGGCCTAAAAGGGGATATAATTGGCTGGGGAGGTAGCCGGCCAGGCAAACTGGTCCTTCTATGGCTGACCAAGGACATTATGTATAATGTATTATGTATAATGTCCTTGGGTTGACCAAGGACATTATACACAGTATAATGTCCTTGGGTTGACTAACTCCCCTGTCCGGTTTATATTCCATTTTTAGGCTGATTTCTACTATTTATTCAGCCTACAAAGGAGTCTGGTGGAGACTAGTTCCTTCCCATTTCTCTAGGATGTATGGTTAGATTTTTTTCAATCAAATGTTTTTGAAATATACGGTCAGTTTTGTACTAGTATCATGATGACATTTGAGGGATTTCATTTTGCTATAATTGTGTTGCATACGTATATATATATATGAGCGTTTTAGTGTTTCGACGTATTGAAGAACAAGTTGACCAACTACCCCAGTTTTATCGAAATAATGTGAAAATAACCTGGATTGCATGCACGTTAAAGAAGAAGAATATCTATAAGTTCATGCACTTTGTGTTTGTTTAGCACTAATTGCGAGACATGGTCAGATGCATGCACAC